ACCAGGCTGACGACTCGCACCCCTGGCTTGGTGCGAGTGGCAGGAACGGGCTGGACCAGGCTGACGACGCACACCGTAGGCTTGGTGCGTGGAGCAGGGACAGGCCGGGCTGGGCTGACGACGCACACCGTAGGCCTGGTGCGTGGAGCAGGGACAGGCCGGACAGGGCTGGCGACGCACACCGTAGGCTTGGTGCATGGAGCAGGAACAGGCCGGGCAGGGCTGTCGACGCACACCGTAGGCTTGGTGCGTGGAGCAGGGACAGGCCGGACAGGGCTGGCGACGCACACCGTAGGCTTGGTGCGTGGAGCAGGAACAGGCCGGGCAGGGCTGTCGACGCACACCGTAGGCTTGGTGCGTGGAGCAGGGACAGGCCGGGCAGGGCTGGCGACGCACACCGTAGGTTTGGTGCGTGGAGCAGGAACAGGCCGGGCAGGGCTGGCGACGCACACCGTAGGCTTGGTGCGTGGAGCAGGGACAGGCCGGACTGGGCTATGGAGACGGATAGGAGACCTGGAGTGAAGAGCTGCCACAACCCGTCCTGGCTGAATGCCTACCTTCACACACTCTGTGTGAGGCATCAGCACAGGACGTACAGGGCTGTGTACCCGTACTGGCATAACAGCACGTGATACTGGCGCAGGATATCCGGGACCGAGGAGAGGCACTGGAGGCCCCGAGCGCTGAGCCGGCACACTCCGTCCTGGCTGCATGCCCACCTTCGCACAACACGTGCGGGGTGCTCGCACAGGACGTACCGGACTATGCCGGACCACTCGTGGCACAGTGCGCAGCTCCGCATACCGCGGAACCTGCCCAGTCTCATGCTGCCATGCCTGAGTACGGGGAGTTGGCTCTGCTCTCCATCCAGGCTCCGCCAACCTGCCTTCTGGCCCCCAAAACCCGGTGGCCTTCTCTCCTCTTCTCCTATTTCGCCCTGTGGCAGCCTCCTGCTGCCCAGTCGCCCATGCCGTGTGCCCCCCCCTAAAAAATTCTTGGGGGTGCCTCTCGTCCGTCCGTCCATGAGAGGTGACTGTGTAGTTCCCCTAAGGAAAAGCACCTTTAGTAAATCTGCTTTTTCTGTGAGAGCTTCCCATGTCTGGAATACACTGCCATCAGACACACACAACTGCACCACATATCACACTTTCACAAAATGCTTGAAGACATGGCTAAAGGTCAATCAGAGTTGTGAACATGGTCCCTAGCTGTGTGTTGCCGCTTTCCATGTCTGTTGTCTGTAACTTGTGAGGTGTGGAAACATTTTGTTGCTTTTATGAATTTTGTCTTGCTGCTTTTTGTTCTATGTTGCTCGGTCTGTATGCTACGTCTTGCTTGTCCTATGTTGCTATGTCTGTATGCTATGTCTTGTTCTATGTTGTTATTGTCCATATTGTAATTGTTTTTAATAACCTGCCCAGGGACTGCGGTTGAAAATTAGCCGGCTGGCTAAAACCGGCACTTTTACTGAAACGTTGATTAATGTGCACTGTCCCTGTAAAAATAAACTCAAACTCAAACTCAAACTGCTGACGCCGCTGCTCCTCTCCTGCCTGGGTCTCCCCCTTCATAGCCCTCCGGTACCGGACGGCCTCCTCCTCGGTAATCTGCCCCCAACCGAGGAGGACATCCACCAGAGTCACCTCCTGCGTGTGTTCCTGGACACGCTGCTTGGTCGTTGTATGGTGGGTTTTTCTGTCACGATCGTCTTGAAGCGAAGTAGACCAAGGCGCAGCGTGTGAAACAAACATGACTTTATTTAATTAAAGTATACCAAAACAAAACACGACTCGTGAAGTCCACGGTAAACAATACCGACACGGACAAAAACCCACAAACACAAAGTGAAACACAGACAGTTAAGTATGGCTCCCAATCAGAGACAACCAGCAAACAGCTGACACTCGTTGCCTCTGATTGGGAGTCACTTAGGCCAACACAGAAAACAACAACCTAGAACACCCAACCTAGAAACAACCCACACAGAACGAACACACCCTGGCTCAACATACAGAGTCCCGGAGCCAGAGCGTGACAACAGCACAGTAGAGTACAGTAAAGAAAAGTAGAGTAGAGTTCAGTACAGTACAGTACAGTACACAGTAGAGCACACTATAATGTACTGTACTCTACTGTACTGCACTGAACTCTATTGTTCTGTTCTGTGCTGTGCTGTACTTTGATGTCCAAACTTGTGAAACATAGACGTCTATGATTGGTTAAGATAGTCCCCTCAGTTGGTAGAGCATGGCGCTTGTAACGCCAGGGTTGTGGGTTCGTTTCCCACGGGGGGCCAGTATGAAAATCTATGCACTCACTAACTATAAGTCGCTCTGGATAAGAGCGTCTGCTAAATGACTAAAATGTAAAAATGTAATTTGGTCCGGTCTGGAGCAATCACATTTGGTCTTGTTTGGGGCAGAGCTCATTAAAATAATAGCCAGTGTGTAGAATAATACCCAAATATGCAAAGGAGAATATTGCATATTTCTACCTTTGTGTACCTATTTAGGATACATCACCTGAAGAGAATGACTTTCATATCCATAATTATGTATTTCTGTGTAGTACAGATTAGGGACCCATGATTAAATTCCGTTACCGCAATTCCGTTACCGGGTGTAAATCCACTTGACTTACTGTAGTTCAATAACCAAAATAGTTTTTTTCAAAGTCAATGTGTCATGTCATCGCTGAAATCCCATTCTTTCTGCAGACATCATTGAATCTTAATTCGGAGCAAATATTTAACTGAGTTTTTGGAAAACATGGACACAAAAAAACAGAGGGAGATTTTACCGAAATTCTGCACAGTTCTTCCAGTCAATATGATTTTGTAAAATTCTCAGTGTAAATTGTTGTCACGATCGTTACATGATGAAGCGGACCAAGGCGCAGCGTGATATGCATACATTCCTTTATTGCAGTACACAACACGAACCAAAACAACAAAACAAACGATACGTGAAGTCCTGGGTTGAACACAAACCTTCCGGAACAAGATCCCACAAAATAACAGTGCCAAACAGGCTGCCTAAGTATGGTCCCCAATCAGAGACAACAAGCTACAGCTGCCTCTGATTGGGAACCACCCTGGCCAACATAGATATACACGAACTAGAACACAAACCTAGAGAACTAAACAATGAAACCTATACACCCTGGCTCAACATATAAGAGTCCCCAGAGCCAGGGCGTGACAATTGTTAAAGGTAGTCCTTGTGCATAGAGTTGTATGGTTTGTTAAACTTTGAAATAAATTGTTTTTGTTTGGCATACATTTTTAAGTGAAAGATCTGAGTCTCAGCGCAATTCTGTTACTGTGGAATTGTTCCTCATAGTAAATTAGTATGACAAACATGGACATTTCAAACAATTTAGCCTACTTTTATTCCTTCCTAAAAGCAATATTGTCCCACCTAAAGTATTGTTGCATTTGGCTGCAAAATTAAATGTCAGCGTTTATAAGAAAAGCTATATGAGCTTGATACTAAATGTCCTATTTTCAGTGTAGCTTCCTTTTGCAGATTTCCACACAATAAGCCCATTCTGGTGTTTGTCTTGGTGCTGTGGATGGATATGACCATTCCAGAATGATGAATATGATCCATTAGTCGGTTAGTGGAACTCATCACTGATGATCTGGGATGGAGCTCTCTGGCCTTGATGTAGAAGACCCATCTGTTAATTAAATCATCCCACATTTGAATCCCCTACCAAAGAAAAGCCTTTCTGAATCTGATGATAGCAGTAGCTAATTTCCCTGTGTGTGTGTGTGTGTGTGTGTGTGCTCATTTAGAAAAAAAGGTGGTATCTACAACCTAAAAGGGTCCCCATAGAAGAACCCCTTGAAGAACCCTTTTTGGATTCCATGTAGAACCCTTTCCACAGAGAGTTTTACATTGAACCCAAAATGGTTCTCCTATAGTGAGGACAGAGTGCAGGACAGACCAGGGTCTGGAGATATGCAGATCTCTGTACAGCTTAGTTGATATGCAGATCTCTTTTGCCCGTCTTTGTAGAGCTTAGCACTAGAACTGACAGCAACAATCAGCTTCATTCTCAGGGTGTCAGCTTCTGAGGCTAAACGATCTAGCATCTTGACTCATCTGCCGTGTGTATAGTGACTTTAGAATGAAATAACGCTTATCTCTCCTAGAGTTGAGAGGCTCAACACAATGCTAAATAATTCAAGTGTGAAATCATTGAATAAGGATGACAGAAACAATGCAGGGATAAGTTGAATTGGGAGGTGGATTTATAATGTGGATTAAGAATTGCATTGATTAAAATGAATGAATAAATGAATGGAATAAATTGGTAGTTTATTCAAGAACTCACTCAGATATTTAGACAGATTTTGTTAGACAATTACATAAGGAAAATTGAGGATATCAAAATGCAATACGTCTCTTTGTTTAGGTCAAATCAGCTTTCTTTCTTTTTTGAAGGAGGGCACATAGGCCTAGACTGCACTAACTATTTATTAATATAATATTTTCACGTCTTCATTGTATCGTGGCCTGTCTGTGTATTTTAAACTCTTACTCCTCTGCCAATTAATGGCATTTTTGATGTCGGATAGGAAAGTGGTCATTACACGTCCTCTCATACATCACAGAGAAGAAAGCAGGGCAAACTCATGAATATAGATCCCTCTTTCCTGTTTGACATTAAGATTTAATGATTTAATGAAATGAGGCATTGTAGAAATTACAGGGAGGGATCCAAGGAGGAGCGAGAAGTATTTGTGTAATTTGCTCAGATAGGCCTGTGCCTTTGCCCCTGAGCTCCATTGCACATCAATAGTGTACAGTCCAAGTCTAGCTTTTCACTTGAATTCTCTCTACTCAGACTCCTGGCTGTTGTTGTAGTTGGTTTGAAGCTGTGAGCTGGCTGTCATGCCTGCCTTATGTCTGCTAACATGGACCAGCCGTGAGGGTATTTCCCACTGGCCTTGGAGAAGTGAGAGAGAGAGAGAGAGAGAGAGAGAGAGAGAGATGGAGGAGGGAGAGAAGGTGTGGGAGATGGAAAGAAAGAGAGAGAGGAGGTTTGAGTGAGAGGCAGAGAGAGAAAGAGAAAGTGTGTTCTGTATTTCTGGTGTAATGGTGAGTATCTGGGTCTGGACACTTAATGAGAGCCCAGATGCTTTCCTCTGAACACAGAAGCTGCTTCTCTCTCTCTCTCTCTCTTTCTCTCTCTCTCTCTCTCTCTCTCTCTCTCTCTCTCTCTCTCTCTCTCTCTCTCTCTCTCCATCCCTCTCTCTCTTTCTCTCTCTCTCTCTCTCTCTCTCTCTCTCTCTCCATCCCTCTCTCTCTTCCTCTCTCTCTTTCTCTCTCTCTCTCTCCCTCTCTGCCTCTTCCCTCTCCCCACTAATTTGTAAGCTTGCGACCAAATTTGATTTCTTTGCACATTGGAGGCACTCCAATAGCCTACCTTTCTATATACTGCAGGCAGAACAGTATGTATCCCTCTTGCTTTCTTGGAGCCATTATAGCAATATTCTCTTTAAAATGTCATATCAACTCCTCTGACAATAGCAGGGTCATGTTGTACCTGTAAAAGATGTCATATGCAAAGTGGAGTTCTATTCAGAACTAACAGTACTACTTATGGTTGAATAAATAAAAAGTAGATCTTTAGTTGGCTTTGTAGCTCAGGGCCCATATTTCAAATCAAATCAAATCAAATCAAATTTAATTGGCCACATGCGCCGAATACAACAGGTGCAGACATTACAGTGAAATGCTTACTTACAGCCCTTAACCAACAGTGCATTTATTTTTAATAAAAAAGTAAAATAAAACAACAACAAAAAAGTGTTGAGAAAAAAAGAGCAGAAGTAAAATAAAATAACAGTAGGGAGGCTATATATACAGGGGGGTACCTGTGCAGAGTCAATGTGCGGGGGCACCGGCTAGTTGAGGTAGTTGAAGTAATATGTACATGTGGGTAGAGTTAAAGTGACTATGCATAAATAATTAACAGAGTAGCAGCAGCGTAAAAAGATGGGGGGGGGGGGGGGGGGGGGGGGGGGGGCAGTGCAAATAGTCCGGGTAGCCATGATTAGCTGTTCAGGAGTCTTATGGCTTGGGGATAGAAGCTGTTGAGAAGTCTTTTGGACCTAGACTTGGCACTCCGGTACCGCTTGCCGTGCGGTAGCAGAGAGAACAGTCTATGACTAGGGTGGCTGGAGTCTTTGACAATTTTGAGGGCCTTCTTCTGACACCGCCTGGTATAGAGGTCCTGGATGGCAGGAAGCTTGGCCCCAGTGATGTACTGGGCCGTACGCACTACCCTCTGTAGTGTCTTGCGGTCGGAGACCAAGCAGTTGCCATACCTGGCGGTGATGCAACCAGTGAGGATGCTCTCGATGGTGCAGCTGTATGTTTTGAGGATCTGAGGACCCATGCCGAATCTTTTCAGTCTCCTGAGGGGGAATAGGCTTTGTCGTGCCCTCTTCACGACTGTCTTGGTGTGTTTGGACCATGATAGTTCGTTGGTGATGTGGACACCAAGGAACTTGAAGCTCTCAACCTGTTCCACTACAGCCCCTAGTCCACAATCATCTCCTTTGTCTTGGTCACGTTGAGGGAGAGGTTGTTATCCTGGCACCACATGGCTAGGTCTCTGACCTCCTCCCTATAGGCTGTCTCATCGTTGTCGGTGATCAGGCCTACCACTGTTGTGTCGTCGGCAAACTTAATGATGGTGTTGGAGTCGTGCCTGGCCATGCAGTCATGGGTGAACAGGGAGTCCAGGTGGGAAAGGGCAGTGTGGAGTGCAATAGAGATTGCATCATCTGTGGATCTGTTGGGGCGGTATGCAAATTGGAGTGGGTCTAGGGTTTCTGGGATAATGGTGTTGATGTGAGCCATGCCCAGCCTTTCAAAGCACTTCATGGCTACAGACGTGAGTGCTACGGGTCGGTAGTCATTTGTCATTTAGGCAGGTTATCTTAGTGTCCTTGGGCACGGGGACTATGGTGGTCTGCTTGAAACATGTTGGTATTACAGACTCACTCAGGGACATGTTGAAAATGTCAGTGAAGACACTTGCCAGTTGGTCAGCACATGCTCGGAGTACACGTCCTGGTAATCCGTCTACGGAGAGCGTGATCACATAGTCATCCGGAACAGCTGGTGCGCTCATGCATGCTTCAGTGTTGCTTGCCTCGAAGCGAGCATGGAAGTGGTTTAGCTCGTCTGGGAGGCTTGTGTCACTGGGAAGCTCGCGGCTGTGCTTCCCTTTGTAGTCTGTAATAGTTTTCAAGCCCTGCCACATCCGACGAGCGTCAGAGCCGGTGTAGTACGATTCAATCTTAGTCCTGTATTGACTCTTTGCCTGTTTGATGGTTCGTCGGAGGGCATAGCGGGATTTCTTATAAGCGTCCAGGTTAGAGTCCCCCTCCTTGAAAGCGGCAGCTCTACCCTTTAGCTCAGTGCGGATGTTTCCTGTAATCCATGGCTTCTGGTTGGGGTATGTACGTACGGTCACTGTGGGGACGACATCATCGATGCACTTATTGATGAAGCCAGTGACTGATGTGGTGTACTCCTCAATGCTATCTGAAGAATCCCGGAACATGTTCCAGTCTGTGCTAGCAAAACAGTCCTGTAGCTTAGCATCTGCGTCATCTGACCACTTTTTTATTAACCGAGTCACTGGTGCTTCCTGCTTTAGTTTTTGCTTATAAGCAGGAATCAGGAGGATAGAGTTATGGTCAGATTTGCCAAATGGAGGGCGAGGGAGAGCTTTGTATGTGTCTCTGTGTGTGGAGTAAAGGTGGTCTAGAGTTTTTTTTCTTCTGGTTGCACATTTAAAATGCTGGTAGAAATTAGGTAGTACGGATTTAAGTTTCCCTGCATTAAAGTCCCCGGCCACTAGGAGCGCTGCCTCTGGATGAGCATTTTCCTGTTGACTTATGGCCTTATACAGCTCATTCAGTGCAATCTTAATGCCAGCATTGGTTTGTGGTGGTAAATAGACAGCTATGAAAAATATAGATGAAAACTCTCTTGGTAAATAGTGTGGTCTACAGCTTATCATAAGATACTCTACCTCAGGCGAGCAAAACCTCGAGACTTCCTTAGTATTTGATTTTGTGCACCAGCTGTTGTTTACAAATATACACAGACCGCCACCCCTTGTCTTACCGGAGTCAGCCGTTCTATCCTGCCGATGTAGCGTATAGCCCGCTAGCTGTATGTTATCCATGTCGTCGTTCAGCCACGACTCGGTGAGACATAAGATATTACAGTTTTTAATGTCCCATTGGTAGGATAACCGTAATCTTAGGTCATCCAATTTATTTTCCAATGATTGAAGATTGGCTAATAGGATTGATGGGAGGGGCAGTTTACCCGCTCGCCGTCGGATCCTTACAAGGCACCCCGACCTACGTCCACGATATCTCTGTCTCTTCCTCATGCGAATGACGGGGATTTGGGCCTTGTCGGGTGTCTGTAGGATATCCTTCGCGGCCGCCTCGTTGAAGAAAAATTATTCGTCCAATACGAGGTGAGTAATCGCTGTCCTGATATCCAGAAGCTCTTTTTGGTTATAAGAGACGATGGCAGAAACATTATGTACAAAATAAATTACAAATAACGCGGAAAAACACACATAATAGTACAATTGGTTAGAGGGCTGTAAAACGGCAGCCATCTTCTCCGGCGCCATTTGAACCAAGCGTCTCAGAGTAGGAGTGCTGATCTAGGATCAGGTCCTCCCCTGTCCATATAAACGTATTCAGCACTCCTACTCTGACAGGCCCAGGGCTTTTAATTACAAAGGAAACATAATTAATGACCCCGAGCCAGTGGCCCAGGTGACCGAACTGCTGACCCATTTCAACTGAACACATGACAATGTAAAAATGCTTAAATCCTGAAGGAATATAGGCCTAATCTCCATGTTTGCCTACTACTGTTATAATTTATAGGCCTATGGGATTGTGGTGGAATATGTCTACCTAGCGCTCAGATTTGAACGTGTCAGTACAGAGAAAATACAGCGTTGAATTTCTTTGGGAGAATTGCCCACTTAAGATTCAGACAACCACTCTAGGCACTGTTCGCAGCCATAATGGAAGTAAAGAAGAACCTCATCAAAGCCTATTCACCATTTCCTGGGATTCAGTGTCTTGCGCTGTTTGCACAATTTGTCCCTACCCACTTGACAGTTGTTCTTGTATCTTAACTGTGTATTCCCTCTGCATTTAGGGGAGCGACATCCGTGGTGTGCAGATGTCGACAGAAGGGAACACAGAAGCCGTTTGCGGTGAAAACGCTGAAGAAAACAGTAAGTTCTCACTGGAGTCTTAGTGTAGTCATTTTACCCAGAGACTACAACAGGCTAAATTTCCTTCCTTAACACAGTTTTATTTTGTTCCTGCAGGTGGACAAGAAGATAGTTAGGACAGAGATAGGTGTTCTACTTCGACTCTCTCACCCAAACATTGTGAGTGTTCTACACACTTTTGTGCTGTCCTTGCATAGAATGAACGATTGTTGTTATTTTTTTTATTAATGCTGAATTTATGTTTGTTTTGCTTTACTTCTTTCAGATCAAACTAAAAGAGATATTTGAGACCCCATCAGAGATCAGTCTGGTCTTAGAGCTTGTGACTGGAGGAGAACTATTTGATAGGTTAATTAACTGCCCTAATGGTCACACACACACACACGCACACACAAAAACACACACACACATACACACATACTCTCTGTACCATTCCTCTGTTACAATAATCACAACACGTGTTATTCTCTCAGGGTTGTGGAAAAGGGCTTCTACACTGAGCGGGATGCTGCTGATGCTGTCAAACAAGTATTAGAAGCCGTTGCAGTGAGTTGACTTCCTTCCTCTGACACCTGTCAAAAAGTAGGCCAATAAATGTCTAGCAAACTCTTTGACATACTGTAAAATCATCACACGTTCACTCCGCCTGTCTCCTTATCTATACATTGTAAAGAACAAAAGGGCATTTATAGAAAGCTTTTTCAACAGTGGACACGGTTCAAGTTCACTTCATTGAGCTATCACATGACCAAGGGTGTGTCTCTCACTGAGCTATCTTTGACATCTTCTCCACATGGACTGAACCATATGTCATATGTTGAACAGGCATTAACTTGTTAGTGTCTTGTAAGAGATCTCCTTCCATGATCCTCAGTTAGCAACAGATTGATGTTGCCAAGGAGATGAAATAGTAAGACAGAGAGGGAATTTTTAACACATTGAAATCTGCCTAGGTCTTGGTGTTGTAGTCAGTCTACATGATGCAACCGCTGCTGTTTTCCCAACGGGTCGACTCAGGAGAGAAGAACAGGGATTTCTGAAGCCTCCAGATCCTTTTGAAGTTTCCTTGTGTTGTTGAGCAAGTGCTGAGAAAGCGTTTGTTCCTTGTTGATTTGGAGTGATTTATTTACAGTGTACACTTCAAAGACAGCAGAGAGGTTCTGTGGTCTGTGTTACATGATGAAAGCCTTCTGAATATCTAGCTAACGTCCTAGTGGAGCATCGTGGTAGCCTCATGTCCCGTCAATCTCACTGACTCACTACACTCTGTTTGTGACAGATTCCTTTATTGTAGGCAACTCATTTGGTGTTATCTTAGTATCACAATGTGTTGATTATTTTGGACACATGTTATGCTGTGATAACGGAGAATCCAGAGATTATTATAATAAATTTTTTTACTATGTCAAAAGACGGTATTAGGCTAATGCTCTTGATTTTGAGATGTAACATTGAGAGCCTATGCATCTCAAAATAATATTTCCCTCATTGGCCAAATACATCAGCTAGCCCACCTCTCAGGTAGGCCTACTTTACTTTCTCTGGCGGAAGAGCACCACAGTCAATGAGAATACACAGCTGTGTTGTTGGGTTACAGTGCTGTACGATGGCTTATTGGCCAGAATAGTTTTTTTTGTGTGGTGCTATGGCAGCAGTGGGAGGCCTGGGATGTGTGCGGTGTGTGTGGTGGGGGCTACTGTCTTCGCTTCTCCTTCCCTTATTCCCTCCCTCCCACACACCACGCGTCGGATGAGAGAGGACACCTTATCTGTGTCAGCTTCGTGCAGGAGAAGAGAATTCCCCTCTGACATCATAGAGAGATTACACCGGAGGGGGTCACAATACATAGTGTGGGGAGAAAATGATGCCTTTGTTCACTGTGAACAAGGTCTATTCAACTCAGCCATTCCCAAGCAGAAAATATGTCTGTTTTGTTGCTTAATAAGGGTAGCTCATTCAGTGCGAACCTTGATGCTTATAAATGTAATGTCAGTGCCAGTGGAAAGGAATGTGGTTTTCTTTAACAGCTTGATGTTAAGGGTTTACATAAGAAACTAGAGATTTGGATATACACCCACCCACAGTGTGCAGATTATATAAAGTTATGCAATAGGTTGCTTTACAAACAGATATCATTATCAAGACAGTGAGCCATAGATTTGTCAGAGGAGGTCTATAATCATAACACTACAAAGTCTGAGAACGCATTGCTTTCCCTCACTCAAATCCCACCTTTGTCTTTTCAATGACCAGCGTTATCAAGGTAGCTGCCTTGTGCTGCTGTTTTCTGTAACTGGGCAGACTTCTATGGCCCACGCTGCCTTGTTTGATGAGTTACTGTGGTAACACAGGTGAAAGTCCTCGCTGAACCCCAAAACAGTTTAAAACATGCTTACATCCAGTACACAGTATCATAACACATTGTTTTATGGTGTAATACACAGCTGGCAATGATAAGAAAGAGGTTGTGAAAGATAGTTAAACTTTGCATTTTGTTTATACATTTTTAACAGTGCACTATAATGCAGGAATGTTATGGTTCTGTGTAGAAAACGAATTGTGGGAGGAGGCACCGCCCAAAATCCCCAACAGTCCAGCTCCATACTCACCACCAGACAGATCAATAACACGATACACTACCAGTCAAAAGTTTGGACACACCTACTCATTCAAGGGTTTTTCTTTATTTTGACTATTTTTTACATTGTAGAATAATAGTGAAGACATCAAAACTATGAAATAACACATATGGAATCATGTAGTAACCAAAAAAGTATTAAACAAATCCAAATATATTTTATATTTGAGATTCTTCAAATAGCCACCCTTTGCCTTGATGACAGCTTTGCACACTTGGCATTCTCTCAACCAGCTTCATGAGGTAGTCACCTGGAATGCATTTCAATTAACAGGTGTGCCTTCTTAAAAGTTAGTTTGTGGAATTTATTTCCTTCTATTTCCTTCTTCCTGCATTTGAGCCAATCAGTTGTGTTGTGACAAGGTAGGGGGGGTATACAGAAGATAGCCCTATTTGGTAAAAGATCAAGTCCATATTATGGCAAGAACAGCACAAATAAGCAAAGAGAAACGACAGTCCATCATTACTTTAAGACATGAAGGTCAGTCAATACGGAACATTTCAAGAACTTTGAAAGTTTCTTCAAGTGCAGTCGCAGGAACCATCAAGCGCTATAATGAAACTGGCTCTCATGAAGACCGCCACAGGAATGGAAGACCCAGAGTTACCTCTGCTGAAGAGGATAAGTTCATTAGAGTTACCAGCCTCAGAAATTGCAGCCCAAATAAATGATTCACAGAGTTGAAGTCACAGGCACATCTCAACATCAACTGTTCAGAGGAGACTGTGTGAATCAGGCCTTCATGGTCGAATTGCTGCAAAGAAACCATCATTAAAGGACACCAATAATATGAAGAGACCTGCTTGGGCCAAGAAACACGAGCAATGAACATTAGACCGGTGGAAATTTGTCCTTTGGTCTGGAGTCCAAATTGGTGATTTTTGGTTCCAACCGCCGTGGCTTTGTGAGACGCTGTGTGGGTGAACGGATTATCTCCGCATGTGTAGTTCCCAACGTAAAGCATGGAGGTGCACTAACGTATGCACTCACTAACTGTAAGTCGCTCTGGATAAGAGCGTCTGCTAAATGACTAAAATTTAAATTTAAATGTATTATGGTGTGGGGGTGTGGGGGTGCTTTGCTGGTGACAATGTCTGTGATTTATTTAGAATTCAAGGCACACTTAACCAGCATGGCTACCACAGCATTCTGCAGCGATACGCCATCCCATCTGGTTTGGGCTTAGTAGGACTATCATTTGTTTTTCAACAGGACAATGACCCAACACACCTCCAGGCTGTGTAAGGGCTATTTTACCAAGGAGAGTGATGGAGTGCTGCGTCAGATGACCTGGCCTCCACAATCCCCCGACCTCAACCCAATTGAGATGGTTTGGGATGAGTCGGACGGCCTATTCACCATTTTTTGGGAACTCCTTCAAGCATATTTGGGAACTCCTTCAAGACGGTTGGAAAAGCATTCCAGGTGAAGCTGGTTGAGAGAATGCCAAGAGTGTGCAAAGCTGTCATCAAGGCAAACGGTGGCTATTTGAAGAATCTCAAATATAAAATATTTTTTGATTTGTTTAACACTTTTTTGGTTACTACATTATTCCATATGTGTTATTTCATAGTTTTGATGTCTTCACTATGATTCTACAATGTAGAAAATAGTAAAAATAAAGAAAAACCCTTGAATGAGTAGGTGTGTCCAAACTATGCTGTTGTCTTGTGTCTTTGGGCAGTACCTGCATGAGAACGGTGTTGTGCACCGAGACCTGAAACCCGAGAACCTCCTATATGCCACCTCAGCACCAGATGCTCCCCTCAAAATAGGTGGGTGCGTTACTCAATACACTGTGGGATTCACTACGATTATCCCAAAGAACATCCATTGAGCCTGAACAGACTCTGTCGTGCTATCAGATACAGAACTGAGATAATTGGGGAATCAATGCCAACAATTCTATTCTATTCTTTTCTATTCTTTTCCATTCTATTGTACCGATATTCTATTCTATTTTATTATATTCTACTATTTTATTCTAATACCAGATAAATAGGCAAATCTCTAATATAGCTCTATTTCATTTTGCAGCTGATTTTGGACTGTCAAAGATCATTGATGATCAGGTCACAATGAAGACAGTTTGTGGTACACCAGGATACTGTGGTGAGTTGTAACCCATTACTGTGATGCTATTTCATTGACTTGGAACAAAATAATAGACATTGCCATTTCAGACATAGCAGATTGTTGTTGTTTTGGTCATGCATGCTTTACCTGGCAGAGATTAGTACCCTGAGGATAGGGTGTACTGTATATTGTAATATTTATCCACATACTACATAGTAGGTTCTTCCTTCGATAAGTAATTAGTGAGTATGAATTCCTTACTCTGTTTTCATCTCTGTCTCTCTCCCTCCCCATGTGTTGCATCTCATTTTCCCCCTCCATCCTGCGCTTCTCTTTTCCTTCCCTCCCTCCCTCCCTCTCCGCCTCCCTCCAGCCCCAGAGATCCTGCGAGGATGTGCTTATGGACCTGAGGTTGACATGTGGTCAGTGGGAGTTATCACATACATCTTGTAAGTGACACCAGCCCCTCAAAAGTTTACTGGAACCCCGAATCACGTCATTGAAAAGACCAGTTCATTTTGACACCCAACAGTTTTGTTCATTTGTTAGCAGCAACAACAACAAAATGCATCAAGAATTTGTGTTCTTTATTTGATAAGAGGAAGTACAGACTGTTTTTAATTGTATTTTTAGGCCATTTTGGTTTCTGAATCAAGGGTGTTGGTGCAATCCTGTTTTAGAGCATCTGAGTGTTGTTTCTTTCTCACATACTGATTGGTATACATAGTATGTGGGTGTGAGTTCACCATTATACAGAAAGCCAGGAAATGGTAGTGCAACTGTAAGCAACAGCATTCAGAAGAAGCACAGTGGTATACAGACACTAGTTAACGAATATTAAACTGTAAAAATAACATATTCTGAAGGCACATCAATCTGGGAGAAAAAAGAGAGTGTGTGAGTTTCTTATTATTTTGTCCAATATTTAAAGGCAAGCCTTAGTGCGAGGAGGATTGCATGTCCAATAGAGTTGTAGCTCAGGATCCTGCGGCTGTCAGAGCCTGTCAGACTGTGCCAGCCAGTGAATCAATAGACAGGAGCTGTCTATGGTTGATGTATGCCTCATTTTTCATCCTCCCTCTGACAGGCTATGTGGCTTTGAACCGTTCTTCGATGATAGAGGGGACCAGTACATGTTCAAGAGGATCCTCAACTGTGAATATGAGTTTGTCTCCCCCTGGTGGGACAATGTGTCCCTCAATGCCAAGGACCTGGTGAGTTTTATTTATTGTTACCAGGGGTCCCGAGGTTACCACAGTTCCGCTGCCGGGCTGACATTTCCCCCTGGTACTTAGGCCTGATTGATAAATCAGTAATTGGTGGAGAATGCAAACCTAGAATGCAAACCTAACCAGCATGAGGGTTCTCTTCTTGCCCTGTAGACTACAGGCTTGGCTTCTGAAAAAACATAGTGTGCTGTACTTCCGGAATGCCCTGCAGACTTTTATGCCTGCACTTTAGCATCCAATTGGTTAGATCATGGGTTAAACAATGGTGAACGTGCATAAAGATGGCAGAATTCAGATATGACATTGACATAATTGTTTTAGTACTATCCACACTGAGTTTTTAAACTAAGGCGCGCGATATGGTTCAATGTGAAAATAAATCAGCACAATCTACGTTTTCTTTTTTTTTCAAATTGCAGGCGTCTTGAAGCTAAAATTGGGATCATGTATACTCTGCTAATAACCATACAAAAAAAGAATAACTGAGAGCAATGTACAATAAGGTGAACTTAGCAAAACAAGGAATTTGTGGTAAGTGCATGGACCGCCATCTTTATGAACCTCCGCTATTGATTAGACATATGGTTGCATGCTGCTTTGTAGCATTGGGTCAGGTGAACTGTTTCCCAGCTGAAAGGTCAGTGGGAGTGTGTCCATATAGGTGTGTCTGATTATAGAATAATATAAAAAGGAGAGTGACTAGACTACATCCATCTCCTACTGTATTTCTGTATTTTATCTCCACATTATGAACTGGGTTGACTTGTTATGGGGACAAAAACCTGCATAAACAGCATTCAAGCAAATAATGAATTCAGACTCACAGTCTCAGTGACCCAGTTACTAACCATATGCTACTATATGTGCTGCTGTCCTGTAGGTGAGAAAGCTGATTGTCCAGGATCCAAAGAAGCGGCTGACGACCTTGCAAGCGCTGCAGCACCCCTGGGTGACTGGGAAGGCAGTTAACTCAGCCCATATGGACACTGCTCAGAAGAAACTGCAGGAGTTCAATGCACGCCGAAAACTCAAGGTAGGTACAAAAACAAAGTCTCTCAATTGTTTTTTTTGTACAGTAGTTGAGGGCAAGTAGTAAAAGTAATGATTGTGTGCTTGTGTCAATATCCTTTGATTGAATGTGTTTGGAATGCAAGCAGAAACAAACATATACTGAGTATACCAAACATTAGGAACACCTTCCTAATATTTAGTTGCACCCCCCCTTTGCCCTCAAAACAGCCTCAATTCGTTGGGGCATGGATTCTACAAGGTGTCGAAAGCGTTCCACAGGGATGCTGGTCCATGTTGACTCCAGTTGTGTCAAGTTGGCTGGATGTCCTTTGGGTGGTGGACCATTCTTGATACACACGGGAAACTGTTGAGCGTGAAAAACCCAGCAGTGTTTCAGTACTTGACACAAACCGGTGCTCCTGGCACCTACTACCATACCCCGTTCAAAGGCACTTAAATATTTTGTCTTGCTCATTCGCCCTCTGAATAGCACATACACAATTCATGTCTCAATTGTATCAAGCCTTAAAAATCCTTCTTTAACCTCTCCTCCCATTCATCTACACTGATTGAAGTGGATTTAACAAGTGACATCAGTAAGGGATAATAGTTTTCACCTGGATTCACCTCATCAGTCAATGTCATGGAAAGAGCAGGTGTTCTTAATGTTTTGTATACTCAGTGTACCTGATTGCTATAATCCTTTGATTTATCTGCATAGTCAGAGTGGGCCTGCACATTAATCCTAAACTATGTCAATGAATGATATACTGTGTACTGTGTGTTTGGTGACAGGCTGCAGTAAAGGCCGTGGTGGCCTCGTCACGATTGGGCAGCGCTGGCAGTCACGGCAACGCTGACAACAGCAAGAACAGCAACTGCAACAACTCCACCAATCAGAAAGGGGCACAAGAGGAGCAGCCACGGAATGATCAGTCACAGTCACAGATCCAGGAGGGATCCTAACTGTGGATCTCCTCTGTTGTTGCATGTCACCCTGTGAAGCCATTCTACCCTCCTGTTGGACTGTGAAGTTTCTGAGAGGAACCATATGGTCTCACCTATACTGGGGATACTCTGCCTGGCTTTATTGCATGTGACTGATTTATTAAACAATGTACAACCATATTGACTTGGCACATTGCAAGAACATGCCTACAAGTATTTTAAGTACATGTGAAATCAGAGTTTACGACTGTGCATGCCCATTTCATAACTCACACAACAAGTAGCTTCACTGGATGGTTGATCTATTCCATTATACCATGTCATAACTGCAAAATGACGTCCAAGTGTTCACAGTATTAATTTGCCTGTTTATAAATTAATTCATAACGATGGTAATCATCATGCTACTTTGGTGGCAGAATATAATATAGACTGGAGAATCGATTTGCAATACTGGTTGAGTAAGCCTACAGTATCTGTTTGGAGAACGGGTTGGACACATTTTTCAGATGGTCATAAACTGAACCTTTATTACAACTTCTAAGGAGAATGCCTTATTGTATCTTATTATCTGTGTTTTACACTCCTTTTGTAAGAAATATTTAATATCTTGTTAAAGGTCCAATGCACCCGTTTTTATCAGAATATCAAATAATTTCTGGGTAACAATTAAGTACCTTACTGTGATTGTTTTAAATTAAAATGGTCAAAAGAAACAAAAATAGCTTCTTAGCAAAGACCAATTTCTCAAGCAAGAATTTTGCTAGGACTGTCTGGGAGTGGTCTGAGTGGGGAGGGGAAAACTGAAAACTGCAGAGAGGTTTGGAACTCTCTTATTGGTCTATTAACTAATTTTCCGCCTGGTGATGTCACCTTTAGGCCCAGTGCAGTCAAAAACGTGACTTTGCTGTATTTTATATATATTTCCACACTATGAGGTTGGAATAATACTGTGAAATTGTGAAAATTATAATAATGCCATTTTAGTGTAAGAGCTGTTTGAAAAGCCTACCTGAAATGTCAGCCTATTTTGGTGGGATGGAGTATTGGCCTGCCTGGTGACATCACCAGGCGGTAAATTAGTCAATAGGCCAATAATAAAATAGTTACAAACCTCTCTGTCAATAACATCTAGTTTTCAGTTTTCCCCTCCCCACTCAAACCACTCCCAGACAGTTCTAGCAAAAATCTTGCTTGACAAATTGTCTTGCTAAGAAGCTATTTTTGTTTCTTTTTGACCATTTTAATTGAAAACAATCACAGTAAGGTACTTAATTTTTACCCAGAAATGATTTGATATTGAGATAAAAACGGCTGCATTGAGCCTTTAAGAATTAGATTAGAAAAGAGTTAGAAACAATCAATTGCACAATGATTGTACTCAAAGTAACTTTCAAGGAACGTGAGGTTATTTCATAGCGTAGAGTTGTTTTATCATTAAGAACTTTTTTCTTTTGTATACCAAAATATGTATGCCTGAAAAGGCACCCCAGTTTTTTATTGCCAAATACACAATTTGCAGGGAAATGGACGAGTAGATATTCAGTGCCAAAATTGGTTGAGTCTGTTGCTTTATTCGATAATATCCTACCTCTGTCATATACAATGGAAGAGGCTGTTTTCTTCGTGCAAATATTTATCTCTCATTAATCCATTAACTGACATGCCTTGTAGTAGAATGTTTTTTTTTTTTATCTACAAAGAAAAAGGTTGGCTGTGCATTGAATTTTAGCATGCTTTTGTCTGCAGTATAAAGGAATGTTGTGGATAATATATGAAATATATTCAACAAGGGTTGTCCTTTTGCATGTAGGAATGTTGAATTGAACTGCTGCGGTTGTCTGTAAAAATGCCCTATAGTTGACTGACATCACATGACAGATGTAATCTGTGTTAAACAGTGAAGTATTAGAGGCCTTCTGAAGGCTCCAAGACGTCAACTTGATTTTCATTTTATATGCTCAAGGGAACATTTAATCATTCAATGTTGTCTTAAAATGGTTACCATTAGGATTGATTTGGTATGGACTGCAGGATAAAAAAAATAAAACTTTATGAAGTTATATGTTTGAGCAGTTTTGTATATCTGACAGCTTATGTACTTTTTGAACAAATGGTTATCAAGTAAAGAATGATGGCAGTATCCTTAACATATTGTTTTATTGACCTACCATTTCCAGTGTTTCCGATTCATTGTAGATGAATTAGGCGGGGTGGTATGGGTCTCCATTGCCCAGTACTGGAGGATGCCCCTATACTGACCAATGTCTATGGTTGTGTAAGTATAATGTATGTAACAGGTCAATGTGGAGAGAGAGTGAGCTGTAAGAGGGATCCATGGATACTGTGGTGCAAAGGTGAGAGCACTACTCCCTGCTCCACAAAAGCCCTGGCCTCGAGGGCAGAGGCAGTAGTATTCTCACATAGCTACGCCATGCTACAGAATTACCCCTTTTTCTCGAAGCGTCCTTTCATTTGCACCAAGCCCTAAATGCAAACTGGTAAGCTCCGCCAAAGGCCATCCCACTGCTGCCACCAATGTAACAGGTCGATGTGGAGAAAGAGTGACGAGCATGATCACTGGGCATGATCCATGGATCCTGCAGCATGGGGATTTTCAAACTAGTCAGGGCTTGGGTGAATAGCTTTCTTGCCTCAATGAATGATTTTTTAAAATTACCCTCTTCAGTTGAACAACGACAAAATACATTATTGTGAAGGGCGCACCCTAGTGTTTCTGCAGCGGACTGCGAATGCTCTGTCCCAGTACTTCTTCATGATAGACGGGGAGGGGGAAGCAGAGAACTGTAAGCTCAGTATCCATCTTAAAGAGAAAATAGGAAAGAGAAACCGCGTCCCAGGTTTATCCCTCAAAAACGGTATCTTTTCCGCGTGAACCGTGCTAGGGAGCCCCAGGAGGGGGCTGTGTCATCGTCTGTAGGATGTCCCGACATGAGGGTAAGTGAAAAATAGACGTCCATAGCGTCGCAGACTGAGCACTGAAGCTTGCTAGCTTGCTAAAATGCCATGTTTTGTATTGCAATGCATTGGACAGGGCTCATGATGGCGGCCACCATGAATTTTCAACCTTTTCTCAACCTCCTGATAACTGGGTGGAACCAGGCAGTTTTTCGTTAACGACAGTCCGAATTGATTAACAGTCATGTTTCAAATAAGTCATACTTCTAGTGAGGGGCCCTTTCTTATTATAGCGAGTTAGCTAATGCTAATTAGCTTGCTAACGCTAGCTAACTAAACTGATGATGGTCCGATGGTTGCTAACTAGTTAGCTAGGAGGACGTTAACTAACTAGCTAGCTAACTAGCATTATTCAACACTGTAGTAGGAGCTAGTTTAAAGTGTCCAGACTTTGGTGAATAGAAGGGTGAATGCGTCGTATATTTTGGTATGGCCACATATTGTTTTCATAGCTAGCTAGTAAACTGGACTCCGTGCTGAAATACTCAGTGCCACCAAGGTATTGGTCATTGAATGCACTGTCATCAGGGTAGTTTGAGGCCCTCAGTCACAGTGGGCCAAACCTAGCCATGTAGTTAGCTAGCTGCTACCTAGTTTGATAAACTAGCTAGTTAGCTAACTAGTCCGTCTACCTTCACTCAATTATCTTACGTTAGCTACCTATTCTAATTAAACTAATTAACGTTAGCTAGCTAGCTAGGGTTATCGGCGCAGAAGAGTATACTAGCAAACTAGGTAACTGTAAGCAGAGTGAAGTTAGCTAGCACAAGTCAGCTAAGGTTAGCCAAGTTAACTCTGTTAGAGCACGGATTTCGAAAACAACCAGTTTGATAGCTAGCTAGCCATCTCTGTCTGGCTTGCTACACTAGACACATTTGTTCACTTGTTGAATTGTGCCATTAGGTCTGGATGACTAGCCAGGTCAGGATTTTTTTCCCAATGAAAGTAACGTTGTAGCTAACTAAGACTCATCAGTTTTCACTTTAGACACGTTTGTGGTGAAGTTTGGAGAATAATTCATTTTAGCTGGGCTGCAGCAGAGGCTCTGTGCAAATATTATGAAGGCCTGTCATGAAGTCGGTGAATTGGTGCATTGGCTAGTTATGTCAAAATGACATACAGGTTCCAAATAGGACGTTTTCCAAGGCAGCACACTTTTGTCCCTAGCCTGGTTGCGCTCTCTGTTAAGCTATTACATTCCACTCGTGCCCACTCTTGTCATTAGCCAAAGAGACTGGCCTTTCAGAAATCTTCAAATATGAACGTTCTATCATTAATGAGCTCTAGGAGATCAGAGGATTTGATACTGATTTGATAACCCTCACAGCTATCATCCAATCAATGTTTTTGCAAATTAGACTGATAGGAAAACGTTCTAACTTAATTAATACATTTGATTGGAAACATTCAAACATTGGGCATTATGGTGCTGGAAGAACAGAGGATTCCTGTTTATTGCATTTTTACTAATGTGATCACACCACAGAAGCTCTCGCCATTCAAACTTCTCCGCCAGTTCATGTGAATTCCTATTTTATATCCTGCAAAGTGCTTTTTTCCTCAAATAGATATACACTGCTCAAAAAAATAAAGGGAACACTTAAACAACACAATGTAACTCCAAGTCAATCACACTTCTGTGAAATCAAACTGTCCACTTAGGAAGCAACACTGATTGACAATACATTTCACATGCTGTTGTAGGTGGAAATTATAGGCAATTAGCAAGACACCCCCAATAAAGAAGTGGTTCTGCAGGTGGTGACCACAGACCACTTCTCAGTTCCTATGCTTCCTGGCTGATGTTTTGGTCACTTTTGAATGCTGGCGGTGCTTTCACTCTAGTGGTAGCATGAGACGGAGTCTACAACCCACACAAGTGGCTCAGGTAGTGCAGCTCATCCAGGATGGCACATCAATGCGAGCTGTGGCAAGAAGGTTTGCTGTGTCTGTCAGCGTAGTGTCCAGAGCATGGAGGCGCTACCAGGAGACAGGCCAGTACATCAGGAGACGTGGAGGAGGCCGTAGGAGGGCAACAACCCAGCAGCAGGACTGCTATCTCCGCCTTTGTGCAAGGAGGAGCAGGAGGAGCACTGCCAGAGCCCTGCAAAATGACCTCCAGCAGGCCACAAATGTGCGTGTCTGCTCAAATGGTCAGAAACAGACTCCATGAGGGTGGTATGAGGGCCCGACGTCCACAGGTGGGGGTTGTGCTTACAGCCCAGACGTGACAGAGTCTGGAGACGCCGTGGAGAACGTTCTGCTGCCTGCAACATCCTCCAGCATGACCGGTTTGGCGGTGGGTCAGTCATGGTGTGGGGTGGCATTTCTTTGGGGGGCCGCACAGCCCTCCATGTGCTCGCCAGAGGTAGCCTGACTGCCATTAGGTACCGAGATGAGATCCTCAGACCCCTTGTGAGACCATATGCTGGTGCGGTTGGCCCTGGGTTCCTCCTAATGCAAGACAATGCTAGACCTCATGTGGCTGGAGTGTGTCAGCAGTTCCTGCAAGAGGAAGGCATTGATGCTATGGACTGGCCCGCCCATTCCCCAGACCTGAATCCAATTGAGCACATCTTGGGACATCATGTCTCGCTCCATCCACCAACGCCACGTTGCACCACAGACTGTCCAGGAGTTGGCGGATGCTTTAGTCCAGGTCTGGGAGGAGATCCCTCAGGAGAACATCCACCACCTCATCAGGAGCATGCCCAGGCGTTGTAGGGAGGTCATACAGGCACGTGGAGGCCACACACACTACTGAGCCTCATTTTGACTAGTTTTAAGGACATTACATCAAATTTGGATCAGCCTGTAGTGTGATTTTCCACTTTAATTTTGAGGGTGACTCCAAATCCAGACCTCCATGGGTTGATACATTTGATTTCCATTGATAATTTTTGTGATTTTGTTGTCAGCACATTCAACTATGTAAAGAAAAAAGTATTTATAAGATTATTTCATTCATTCAGATCTAGGGTGTGTTATTTTAGTGTTCCCTTAATTTTTTTGAGCAGTGTATATTTTTAATTGCTCAATAAGTGACCAAACTATATTGTAGGGCGGGGAATTGCCAGGGACCTCACAATACGATATTATCACAATACTTCCATGGTCCAAACATAGTTCTCACCCATATGTCTGCAGCAGAGAGAGGAGAACTATGAGAGAAGGAGTTTTGATCAGTCATGGAAATAAGTGATGAAAACAAATTGGCTCCCTATTTAAAAAGATGGAGAACAAGCTATGAGAGAAAAATACTGGAGTTTTTGTGCAGGTACAGCTAACTAGTGCAAAAATAATATTGCGATATTGTCAAAACAATACAATAAATTGTCAAATCATATCCCAGTATGGGCTCCCGAGTGGCGCAGCAGTCTAAGGCACTGCATCTCAGTGCTTGAGGCGTCACTACAGACCCCCTGGTTCGATTCCAGGCTGTATCACAACCGGCCGTGATTGGGAGACCCATAGGGCGGCGCACAATTGGCCCAGCGTCGTCCGGGTTTGGCCGGTGTAGGCCATCATTGTAAATAAGAATTTGTTCTTAACTGACTTGCCTAGTTAAATAAAGGTAAAATAAATAAATATGTCACTATTGATTTCCCCCTTAGTGTTTTAACTACTTTGTCTATTTGTTTCATATCTGCACTCATAATATCTGTCAGAAATATAAAATTCCCAGTTTACGCTTCAAAACCAACTTTATGAGGTTTTAAAAATAGGTTATATTTGACTCAAAATTCCATAACATACAGTAAGGCATTGTTGGCAGAATAGATGGATGCAGTTCAATGCATGATTAATATTTAAGCGATAATTCCAGAGAAGCCGGTGTTTGAATGATATATTGGCACAGGTGTTGTTAGGCCCAAGATGAAGTCGAAAACACCGGCTTCGAGGGCATTATCACATTTATACAATGGGTTACCAACATATTCAAATAATGATTGACATATTTTCATTCAAAATGTTATTTTGATGGATTTATTCATACTATTTCATCCTTCCACGAGATATAGGGTTGCTACCCAAGCCGGCTGGTCGTTCGTTCTATCGGTTTGGTTGCCAGTCGTTAAGTATTTTTGTTCTGTATCTATGGACCCAACCCAGTCGTTCGTTCTAAATGTTCTATTGCCATACCGGCTGGCAACGTTCTTATCCCTTGCTTGCTAGCTAGCCAACTACGGCCAACTTACAGTCACGTCAAACAGTGCAGCCATAATAACAGCAAAGTAGCTGTATTTGCATTTGTTTAAGCTGTTTTGTAGTGACATTTATTTGGATACATCCATAACAATGAGCTAATGATGCTTGATTTCACCTGGCATAGAAAATGTGCTCTCTAGTCAGGACACTGTTGTTCAGAGGAGCTATCCAACAACACAGCTAACACAATCACTTCAAACTGAAGCTGGAAAGACTGCAAACTAGCTGCATTTAGTTTCATTTTACCTGTTTTCAATTGATTTTTTTGTTGTATATATCCATAAAGATTATACTGATTCATGATTTCGACTGGCTGAGAAAAGCTGCCTGCCTGTCTTTCTCGTCCCGACTCCCGACCCCTACACATGAATTGCTATGGTATTGAAACAATGTTGCAAATGTCAGAGACCGACAGCAAGGTTTATACAAATCTACACTATTGAAAACCAATTGCTAGTCTAAAAGAAATGGGGGTATAATGTCTAGAAATATAGAATTTTCACAAGTGCCTTACTATACGTCATTCCCAAACATTCTATGAATTTATGAAATTGTCCACATGTAAGTGCTTGCTTGTCAGAAAAAGAAGTTTCATTCTTCCTGGGGGTGAATATGAACAGATTTGAATAAGATTTCATGTTGCTAAAATGCTGTCAGTTCCACTTTGGTATTTTGGTATTTTATTCGGATCCCCATTAGCTGTTGCAAAAGCAGCAGCTACTCTTCCTGGGGTCCACACAAAACATGAAACATGACATAATACAGAACATTAATAGACAAGAACAGCTCAAGGACAGAACTACATACATTTTTAAAAAAGGCACACGTAGCCTACATATCAATACATACACACAAACTATCTAGGTCAAATAGGGGAGAGGCGTTGTGCCATGAGGTGTTGCTTTATCTGTATTTTGAAATCTGTTTTGCTGTTTATTTGAGCAATATGAGATGGAACGGAGTTCCATGCAATGATGGCTCTATATAAACTCAGCAAAAAAAGAAACGTCCCTTATTCAGGACCCTGTCTTTCAAAGATAATTTGTAAAAATCTAAATAACTTCACAGATCTTCATTGTAAAGGGTTTAAACACTTTCCCATGCTTGTTCAATGAACCATAAACAATTAATGAACATGCACCTGTGGAACGGTCGTTAAGACACTAACAGCTTACAGACGGTAGGCAATTAAGGTCACAGTTATGAAAACTTAGGACACTAAAGAGGCCTTTCTACTGACTCTGAAAAACACCAAAAGAAAGATGCCCAGGGTCCTTGCTCATCTGCGTGAACGTGCCTTAGGCATGCTGCTAGGAGGCATGAGGACTACAGATGTGGCCAGGGCAATAAATTGCAATGTCCGTACTGTGAGACGCCTAAGACAGCGCTAAAGGGAGACAGGACGAACAGCTGATCGTCCTCGCAGTGGCAGATCACGTACATTTGCACAGGATCGGTACATCCGAACATCACACCTGTGGGACAGGTACAGGATGGCAACAACAACTGCCGAGTTACACCAGGAACGCACAATCCCTCCATCAGTGCTCAGACTGTCCGCAATAGGCTGAGAGAGGCTGGACTGAGGGCTTGTGGTCCTGTTGTAAGGCAGGTCCTCACCAGACATCACCGGCAACAACGTTGCCTATGGGCACAAACCCACCGTCGCTGGACCAGACAGGACTGGCAAAACGTTTTTCAATTCCTCATCAATCCATGGAGCCTTAACAGTTCTAACAGTCAGTTTCCTAACAGGTGCATGTTTATCAATAATTGGAAGAAGCAATTTCATAAATTCATCAAGTGCAGCATCTGGATGCTCCTTATTAATCACATCAGACCAACACATATTTTTTACATCATCCACATATGAGTCACAGTAAAATCTTTTGTATGATCTCTTATACACTATTTTAGGCCCAGCTGTTGGAACTTTGGCTTTCCTGGATATAGCCACTATATTGTGATCACTACATCCAATGGGAAGGATACAGCTTTAGAACAAAGTTCTACAGTATTAGTAAAAATGTGATCGATACATTTGGATGATCTTGTTCCTGTAGTGTTTGTAAACACCCTGGTAGGTTGATTAATAACCTGAACCAGAACACAGGCACTGGTTACAGTAAGAAGCTTCCTCTTGAGCGGACAGCTTGATGAAAACCAGTCAATATTCAGGTCCACAAGAAAGTAGACCTCTCTGTTTACATCACATACACAATCAAGCATTTCACACATATTATTTAGATACTGACTGTTCACACTTGGTGGCCTATAGCAACACCCCAAAAGAAAAGGCTTTAGATGCGGCAAGTGAACCTGCAACCACACCACTTTAATAACACTTGATATAAGATCTTCTCTAAGCATTACAGGGATATGGCTCTGAATAGATACAGCAACACCTCCCCCATAAGCATTTGTGTCTCTTCTATAGATGTTATATTCTTGTATTGTTACTGCTGTATCATCAAATGAATTATCTACGTGAGTCTCAGAAATGGCTAATGTATGAATGTTATCTGATGTTAGCAAGTTATTGATTTCATGAACCTTATTTCTAAGGCTACATATTATGGGCTATTTTCAGCCCTTTCCTGGGTAGCTTATCAGAGAGAGAAATAATACTGAAAAGAGCAAACAAAGCAAGAGAAAAAAAGATACATTCAGCAGTCCATTAATCAATTGGTGTGTGTGTGTGCTGCGGGGTTGATGCTACGAACCTGTAGGCTTGGCGCTCTCATCCCTTCCAGGCTTCTGGGAGGGAGGGTGGACAGTGAGCCTGTCATAGTGGATGTAAGCAATGTCCCCACGCGCTCTGGCAGCTTTCATGGCTGGGATAAGTTCTTTCCTCTTCTGGCGCACAGCTTCAGGATAGTCCTCGTTGAGAAAGATATACGTTCCTCTGAAGTTCTTGGCTCTTTCCAGAACAGCTACCTTGTCCTTGAACCTCAGTAACTTGACCACTATCGGCCTGGGCCTGTCACCTGGGCCGGTGGTGGGTTTTCCAGTCCTGTGGGCGCGCTCCACCTCAATCTTCCTGTGGTCCGTCTTCAATTTCTCAGAGATCATTTCCCTCACTTTGTCCTCAGACTCCGTCCAGGTCTCATGTGGAGATTCTGCAATTCCGTCCACAACCATGTTGTTACACCTTGATTTATCCGTCATTGCTATCATGGATTCACAGACAGAACTGATGTCCTCTCTCAACTTTATTTAACCAGGTAAGCCAGTTGAGAACAAGTTCTCATTTACAACTGCGACCTGGCCAAGATAAAGCAAAGCAGTGCGATTAAAAACAACAGCACAGTTACATATGGGGTAAACAAAACAAAGTCAAAAATACAACAGAAAATATATATACAGTGTGTGCGAATGTAGTAAGTTAAGGAGGTAAGGCAATAAATAGGCCATAGTGCAAAATAGTTACAATTTCGTATTAACACTGGAATGATAGATGTGCAAAAGATGATGTGCAAATAGAGATACTGGGGTGCAAATTAGCAAAATAAATAACAATATGGGGATGAGGTAGTTGGGTGGGCTAATTTCAGAATGGCTGTGTACAGGTGCAGTGATCGGTAAGCTGCTCTGACAACTGACGCTTAATGACTTACAGATTGCTGTAATCTTGCTGTTCTCCTGTTTCAACTCATCGAGCTGACCCTGGGAGAACTGCAAACTGTTCTTTAGGTCCTGGACCTCTCTGGTCAGGTCGTCCATTATTTTATTAGTCAAATCCACCAGTATTTGGACAAAGCACTTGAAGCTATTTTATTGTTGTTGTAAACTGCTTGTAGAACTCTTTTTGTTAGTTTAAAATATCCTTCACATGTGATAGACAACACTATCCTCGACAACGGTACTCCTGCCAGCTTTGGTCTTTGTCATGGTAGCTAGCAACGTAGGTTACGCTGTTACTCCTCGCAGTTCCAGACAGGGCAGGTCACAGGGAAGATTGAAAACAACAAACAGCAGGGATCTAGACAGCCACAAACCCGGGACAATCCACGGTCCCAGCCACAATGGCTAACCGCGTCGCGGGCTGCGTTCAAGCCCTCAAGAAAACCCTGCTAGCTTGATATGCTGCTAGCTAGCAGCTAGGCTAGCTGCAATGCCAAATAGCTCCTCAGACCGGTCCTTGGTTGGCAGAATCACTGGACAGAGGCTAGCAATCCCAGCAACTGATGCCCACTGTGTCGCGGGATCCAAACTAAAAAGTTAGCTAGCTACTAAGAACTTACCAATACACTTTCAAAACAACAAATCCGAGCTCTTCCTCGTTCCGCGTTCAACAGGAAGTGACGTAGTGATAGGAGACTCGATAATTATTCAACTGGACTGGAACCTGTCAACCACCCCATTTACTCTGTTAAACCTACTCTTTGAAATATCAAAGCTAAGCAGGGCTGGGCTCAGTTAAAAAGAGAGGAGGGACAAATAATATAACTGAAATGAGCATAACAACATTTTCTAATGTATGCAAGTCATGATAATCAGCATATGTGCGAGGAATGACAACGGGTGCCAGTTTTACATTACATTGCTCATTAATGAAACTGAAGCAAACGTAGCTCAATTTTAATCTTGTAGGCTAATATTTTCCGTATCATTATTTCTCTCATTATGGAGTCCTCTAGCCACTTTGAACAACATGGTCTTGCATTGACACTGCCTTCTCACAAGGGAATGACTGCAGCAGGTCGAAACGGTATTCACCCAGTCGGTATTAGATAGAACGTTGCGACCCTGCCCACCTGTGGGGAAATCAACCTGTTGTTACCTAGGTTACCCCATTGGCTCACAGCAAAAACTTTTTAAAATGCAATTTTTCTTGTTATCTATTTGTTTTAGTCAATTACAAAACTACATTTAAGAAAAGTACATGTCTAAAGATTACTTTTAAACATTGCCTGCTCCCTAGCGTTCTCACTACTTAGAAAAACGTAATATTGTAATATCTCTCATTCCCCTTTTCATGACGATGCTGGCAGCCACTTGAGTGAGTGAATGCTAGCTAGCTACCGACCGGAACATTAAGCTAGACCAACAACACAAACGGACTATACAGCTACAAGTAGTAAGTGGAGTTACAAACGGACTGTACTAAATAATTTAAATGTCTTACCTGTGATGATATGTTTGCCACACACATAGCTACATGTAGCCTACTTGGACACCGCGTCCCCACATTTCCCACACCGAATAGTCTGAAGCCACAGGGCTCTTCTCGCAGGCTCTATTTCCCTACATGGGAGTATTGCGAACCGTAGCTCGGGATTTTTGACTTGGCTACATGTGCATTGAACAACACAGCAGCTTTTAGGCATGTTTAGTTATTTAAGTATAGCAAAAAATCGCAGAAGTTGCCTCTTATAATGGGGGTCATTAGGAAAGAATGTTGTTTTCCCCCAATTTGTGGGCGTGGTCGAGGGGAATTCCTTATTACGTGAATATGACTGAGACTGTTGGTTTGTTCTTTTTTTAGAATTCAAATTCTATATTGCACCAAATTTGCGCGCTCCCCATGTCCCATAACGTTGTCATGGAAAATATTAATGTTTCCATCTACCAATCATCAACTGTGCCGTAAATCTGGCTGCATATTGAACATTGAGATTGTCCAAAGGCAGGAGTGGCAGGGAGTGGAATGTTCGCTTAAAAGACTGGTACATAAATTACCTTTTATCCAGAGTCCAGACGGGCATTGCATAGGGGCAATTCCACAGTAGGAGTGACACTGAGACTCTGATTTTTCACAAAAACCAATGATTGCAAAGTTTAAAAAAACATAACTCTATACACAAGGACTACTTTTAACAATTTCCAGTGAAAATTGTACAAAAACTTGAACAGTGCAGAGGCAAAGTTTGGTAACAGACTGACGGCACACACAGCACAGATACCAGGGGTGTGACAGACACCAGGGGTGTAATCATTAGTCATTCCAAACAGTTGCAAAACATTTGAACTATAACAAGATTTTCTATTGTACAAATTCAGGTAGGTCCCTCCCCGTTTCCTTTGCTTCAATTTTTAAGAAACATTTTGCAACAGAATTGTGGAAATGAATGCACCCCTGGGGCCTCATTTATAAATGTTGCGTACGCACAAAATAAATATAATAACAACATGCAATAATTTGCTGTTAGTGAGAAGAGCGCAAATCTATTATCTTTACATTCATTCTAAAATGATTTAATCTATTTCCTATTTATTTATTTATTTTCCATGCTCATTTCAGAATAAATTCCTCACCTTTTCTGACTGTGATGGTTTAAACTCGTGAAATAGCCTATCGGCCTACAACAAGTTTAGGATAGGCTACCATTCGTCCCATCTCTCATTTAATTGGACCCACTTCACAGCAGTAAATAGATAAGCTACCGGTATTTAAAGTATTTTGCTCTATGCGATCCGAAGCACAGTTTAACGGTAAAACAGAAGGTTCACCTTTTCCATTGACGTTTGTAGGCTACGTCTGAATACTGTTCTGTCAAATTTCTTGAGTAGCCTAGACAATATTTAATTTTTAAACATAATTCATATAGTATTACCATTGCACCTTTTCTAGCCATACAACAAATTAGCATGCACATCTCTCATTTAATTGGGCCTATTAGATAGACTATTATAATTTCACGTTTTTGCTCTATGCATCTGAAAGGGAGTGCGGTTTATAACATACACTATTTAACAGGTGAACAGAGTATAGGCCTACTATAGTTTTCATTATTTATTTTTTAGAGTAGACAATGTTTTCGTGGGCAGTGCAACATATTTAGGTTCAGGAGAAAGTAAATGCAAAACATTATTGAATTCAAATTATATGTTTACAGGTTCACAGCAATTTGCAAGTTTTTGTGTTTCAGAAACGGTCAGATATAGCAAATGTCACTGCCAAAAAATATTAATCTATTAATTAACACCTCCAAAGACATTTAATCAAGTTCGCTATTGATATTTCCTTTAGATATACCGTCTTGGCCTAATTCCAATACTTCCAAAGTATACAGCAAAAAGGGGGGTTATAATGCTCGTTCAAGCGTGCACAGTTTTATGACAGGTCTGATTTTATAATGGAAAACATGCATATGTAGTCTCTTCAGGAATAGCGCACGCAGATATTTAGTATAAAATGTGTGCAACGGTTATAAATGAGGCCCCTGGCCTCTGAAAGCCACTGGAGTAGTGTAGCAAGGGGTGTAATTCATTTAGTACCATATTCCATCAGTGCTTGATTGTCATCAAAGGATGGGAAGTCACCTGCTGTTGTCGTCATCATCAAAGAGCAAGGGCATATTCTCAATTTGAAAATTTGGAGAATCCAGACAATTGAATGACCGATCCGTACAGAAGATCTGTTCTCATAAATGTTAAATGTTGACTGTATGTGAGCAATGAACAGCAGCATAGCCTAACTTTTTCCTTTTTCAGTTCCTGCACTTTGTATCAGTTTTGTCAGTTGCCTAAGGAGTGATAGGCCTATGTGATAAATGCCTTGGCTTTAATACAGTGGTGAAATTGTCTGATTTAAAAGCAACAGTAACAAAGTGAAGGTGGTGGTTATAGCAGTTTCGATAACGCCTGTCTGAAGGAGGAAGTTATAATAATAATATAATATGCCATTTAGCAGACGCTTTTATCCAAAGCGACTTAGTCATGTGTGTATCAGTACAGTTAGCACAGCAATACACCACATGATATGATGACAAAGGGCACAAAGGGGCAGGTTGAGGACAGTGTGGTGTTTTATTTTAAATGATTTTATTTTCACTTTGTCTACGCGCTCTGTTTATGTTCTCCAGATCATCTCTTTTGTCTGTTCTTCTGCTCTATAGGCCTGGTTAGTTTATTGCATTGTCATATAAAGGTCTGTAGCCCAGGCAACAAATGGAAAAGAATACGTACAAATGCATAAGAGCCGACAAGATGGGGCACTATTATTCAGTGCCAGCCAGGTACACACACACTGGCATTCCTTAATGACTTGCTACTGACTTACGGTGGGTTTTTCAAAATTCCTCTTGGTTGGCATTTGTGGATTAATGTCAGTGCCAAATACATGCTGATGAGTGTCAAGCAGCCTAGGATCAGACTGTACTTTCTCTCTCTCTGGTCGTAGGCCTACTCCACTAGACCACACTATCGGGCATGCAATTAGCCTATATGTTGACGTTCAATCTTCACCCTTGTTTTACAGGTGTGAGCTGTGACGCATGTTTAAAAGGGAACTTCAGAGGGCGCCGGTACAAGTGTTTAATTTGCTACGACTACGACCTGTGTGCGTCGTGCTACGAGAGCGGAGCCACCACAACGAGACACACGACAGAACACGCCATGCAGTGTATATTAACCAGGGTAGACTTTGGTAAGGATTAAACATTTTACATTATAACAGGAGTTTTTCCTGACCACGTGGTCCAAGCAGGGCTTGGAGTTCTTCCTGGTCAGGTGGTCAGGAAAAACACTTCGCTCTAATTGGTATTCATTTGATTTCAGTGTATTTTATATAAAACGTTTCGTGTTATGGTGATGATAACAGTGATTCTAAAGATGGATTGTTTTCTTTGCAGACCTGTATTACGGCGGTGAGGCGTTCTCAGTAGAGCAGCCCCAGAGCTTTTCCTGTCCTTACTGTGGTAAAATGGGCTACACAGAGACATCCCTACAGGAGCATGTCACCTCAGAGCATGCAGAGACCTCTACAGAGGTGGTGAGTGGACACATCATCCTAGTGTTTCATCTAGCTTTACTAAGATGGGAAGACCGGTCCCCCAGTCTAGCTCTGTTGCCCTTTTGCTTAAAAAAATGTGTCCTCCATTGGTTTCAATAGAATGTTTTGGTGTTTACTGTAGCTCAATTGGTAGAGCATGGCGCTTGTAACGCCAGGGTAGTGGGTTTGATCCCCGGGACCACCCATACGTAAAAATGTATGCACACATGACTGTAAGTCGCTTTGGATAAAAGCATCTGCTAAATGGCATATTATATTACATCCTCTATAAAACTCTATGGGAAAGATTGTATCCAATGACATCTCATACATCCAGCTTAGATTCCAGGGCTCGTGGACGCATTAACACAATTCTCAAATGATTATTTTACAACTGACGCTTGCCAATAACTTAAAATAACTTGAGTGGTCAGTGGAATATATCCAGAGGGTGCTTACGGCTTGCTTCATTTCAGATCTGTCCAATATGTGCTGCGTTGCCGGGCGGGGACCCCAATCATGTGACCGACGACTTTGCTGCTCATCTCACACTTGAACACAGAGCACCTAGAGATTTAATATCTTTTTAATGCAGCTCTACTCTGTCTGTGTGTGTGTACGCTCTGCTTGTGTGTCTGCATCTGTTTGTTTTTGTGTGTGTGTGCTTCTGCGTGTGTGTGTGTGTGTGTGTGTGTGTACACCTTTGTGGCTGGGTCTGTGTGTATTATTTATGATTATTCCAAGTACTTGCGAACCCTTTGAACTCTGCTCCTTAACCTGCCTTGTTTACGATGAGTCCAGCGGCGTCCGGCATGTGCGTCGGATGTTCCACCCCGGTCGCGGGCTGGGCGGTCCCAGGGCACGCAGGACCAACATGCACTTTACTAGCAGCTCCACCGGGGGGCTCTCCTCCTCACAGAGCTCCTCGTACTCACCCAGTAACAGGGAAGCCATGGACCCCATAGCAGGTGAGCAGTGCACCTGGTCTGACCAGTCTCTGTCTGTATAGTTAACTACAAGCAGAGATGGATAGAGAATCTGGTTGTCTGGTCTTTACCCTCTGATCTGTGTTCACTCCTGCTGGATTTTATTCACCAGTCTGTACTGGAGTCACTTGAATATTCACTTCAGTGGTTCTTTTATCTTTCCATGAGACATAACGGCTATGGCTTTGATCTCGTATGAAGTATAACCTGCAGTCATAGTGACATGCCTCTTTTCTGTGACAATCTTACTGTATCACATTCACCTGTCTCTACTGGAGCCTAGTTTTGAACTATTAATCTCACTAGAAGAAACTCAAACACTCTTCTTCATCTCTCTCTCGTCTCTCCTCCCACAGAGCTGTTGTCTCAGCTGTCGGGCGTGCGGCGCTCGGCGGGCGGCCAGCTCAACTCGTCAGGCCCGTCCGCATCTCAGCTGCAGCAGTTACAGATGCAGTTGCAGCTGGAGCGCCAGCAGGCCCAGGCGGCCCGGCAACAGCTGGAGACAGCCAGGAACACCACGCGACGCTCCAACCCCGGCGGCAACATCAGCGCCACCATCCCCCCGCCCAGCGCCGTCGCCAACTCGGCCGGCGTGGCCGAGAGCAACCCCATGGCCTCCCACAGCTCCCAGTTCCTGCTCACACGGTGAGTTGGTCGATCTCTCTGAGGTGTACATGTGAACAAAGCCTTTTATTTACTTCACTATATTCGAAATTGAAGGCTCTGCGCACACAGACACACACACACTGTTTGCTGTTACTGCTATCAGGCCCCAATTGTTGAATGCCCCGAATGGCAGGATCTGCCCCCCCCCCCCCCCCCCCCTGCATGGTATCTCCCACAGTCTCTCCCTCTTGTTCTCTCCCCACGAATAGACTCACAGGTCTCCCCTCCTCCTACCTTTTTCGATACTACAACATGAAAAACAGTTTGGTACTAGAATTTTGTTCGTTGCGGTTCTTCTATCAAATGTCTCACGTTTGGAAGTCAACTAAATATATTGAACTTATTAGAACATTTATACATTTTCACAAGAGTTTATCATAAGACATGGACAGAATGCATCAGTGATTCGTATTCCCTGCAACCTTCTAAAGAAGCAACGGCATGGGAATGCCCGTCTGTGTGTGGTGCGCATCTACCACTTTGTGTAGCCATTAGCGTTACCTAATAAATCAGACTGTAATACCAAATCTTGGTATAAAGCCTGCAACAAAGCACAGCAAAAACTTGGAAAGTGTCCTTACAAGCCAGAATGTTGAATAAGTTTGACTGATCAAACTTGATTTTTAATGCTCTCTCTTGTCTCTCTGCAGCAAACCTATAATGAGGAATATGTTTGGAACATCAAATCGCAATAAAACCGCAATACATATAGAATCGTGAAAATCGCAATACATACCTAAGTATCGTGATAATATCGTAGCGTGAGGTCCCTGCCAATTCCCAGCCCTATTAAACACCTGCAAGACTTCGGTTTGTATGCATGCATCGGATGTATAGTGCATTCGGAAAGTATTCAGACCCCTTGACATCAATCTAAACACAATACTATAACGACAAATCGAAAACATTTTAGACATTTTTGCAAATATATAAAAAATTGAAATACCTTAATTACATAAGTATTCAGACCCTTTGCTATGAGACTTGAAATTGAGCTCAGGTGCATCCTGTTTCCATTGATCATCCTTGAGATGTTTCTACAACTTCATTGGAGTCTACCTGTGGTAAATTAAATTGATTGGACATGATTTGGAAAGGCACACAACTGTCTATATAAGGTCCCACCATTGACAGCGCATGTCAGAGCAAAAACCAAGCCATGATGTCGAAGGAATTGTCCGTAGAGCGCCGAGACAGGTTTGCGTCGAGGCATAGATCTGGGGAAGGGTACCAAAACATTTGTACAGCATTGAAGGTCCCCAAGAACACAGTGGCCTCCATCATTCTTAAATGGAAGAAGTTTGGAACCACCCAGACTTTTCCTAGATCTGGCCGCCCGGCCAAACTGAGCAATCGGGGGAGAAGGGCCTTGGTCAGGGAGGTGACCAAGAACCCAATAGCCACTCTGAGAGCGCTCCAGAGTTCCTCTGTGGAGATGGTAGAACCTTCCAGAAGGACAACCATCTCTGCAGCACTCCACCAATCAGGCCTTTATGGTAGAGGGGCCAGACGGAAGCCACTCCTCAGTAAAAGGCACATGACAGCCCGCTTGGAGTTTGCCAAAAGGCACCTAAAGACTCTCAGATCATGAGAAACAAGATTCTTTGGTCTGATGAAACCAAGATTGAACCCTTTGGCCTGAATGCCAAGCGTCACTTCTGGAGGAAACCTGGCACCATCCCTATGGTGAAGCATGATGGTGGCAGCATCATGCTGTGGGGATGTTTTTCAGCAGCAGGGACTGGGAGACTAGTCAGGATCTAGGGAAAGATGAACGGAGCAAAGTACAGAGAGATCCTTGATGAAAACCTGTTCCAAAGCGCTCAGGACCTCAGACTGGGGCGAAGGTTCACCTTCCAACAGGACAATGACCCTACGCACACAGCCAATGCAACGCAGGAGTGGCTTCCGGACAAGTCTCTGAATGTCCTTGAGTTGGCCCAGCCAGAGCTCGGACTTGAACACCGATCTAACATCTCTGGAGAGACCTGAAAATAGCTGTGCAGCGACGCCCCCCTCCAACCTGACAGAGCTTGAGAGGATCTGCAGAGAAGAATGGGAGAAACTCCCCAGATACAGGTGTGCCAAGCTTGTAGCGTCATACCCAAAAAGACTCAAGGCTGTAATTGCTGCCAAAAGTGCTTCAACAAAGTACTAGTAAAAGGTCTGAATACTTATGTAATGTGATATTTTTTTATTTTAAAGTCAGTTTAATAATACTTTCCTGTGGATATTTTGTCTCCAATGTTGACCCACTGAAGGACCAACACCACGGACAATCGGCGGAGTAAATTCAAATATAATTTTATTCAACATTCGTGACAGACGACACGTTTTCGGGTTTTTTCTATGTAAATGAGTGTGCACAATTGGGACTACCCAGTGGCCATTTGTTTTGCAAACTCCATCATAGGGTCAAACAGTAACTTATTTTCTCACTGGCCAAAAATCGAATGGCCAGAACAGAATTTCTAATGGCCTGGACATGGTGTAATTTTTGATGCAGGGCCTATAGCGCGTGTCAAACTCATTCCACGGAGGGCTGTGTGTATGCGGGTTTTCGCTCCACCCTTGCACTTGATTGATGAATTAAGGTCACTAATTAGTAAGGAGCTCCCCTCACCTGGTTGTCTAGGTCTTAATTGAAAGGAAAGAATGAGTTTGACACCCCTGGCCTATAGGTTGGCATGCTTTTCGCTATAATTTATTTATTATTATTAATAGGCTATATTTGGTTATTATATGTATTAAAAAGCTGTGTAATATAATTTAGAAATGCAAGTCATTACTCTATTCTTCAGAATTGCATTATATTAATTATTCATTTTTGTTTCTGAAGTATGCCATTTTGAGAGAAATTCTACAACTTAAAATAGGACGCTGCCTCTTTAAAGGGTCAGACACACCGAGAATTCTTAATATCAATAGGTACTTAGCACCTCTGCCCAGTGTCGGCAGTTAATGTTTTGTTGTTCACACAGCCGTTTAACCACAGATTAAATAAATACTCCAGACCACAAGGTGTCAGTAGCTTGTTTGGTATTGTGCCAGCAGTAGATAACTGTTAGCTAGCTAACTAGCAAGCTGCACAAATGTTGTTGCTAGTTAGCTAGAATTTGTAGTAAGCCCTTGTTGATACTAGCCAGATGGCCACAACTATACTGAACAAAAATATAAATGCAACATGTAAAGTGTTGGTCCCATTTTTCATGAGCTGAAATAAAAGATCCCAGAAAATTTCCATATGCACAAAAAGCTTATTTCTCTCAAATGTTGTGCACAAATTTGTTTAAATGTCTGTTAGTGATCATTTCTCATTCTCATTTGCCAGGTGTGGCATATTAAACAGCATGATATCATTACACAGGTGCACCTTGTGCTGTGCAGTTTTGTCATACAACACAATGCCACAGATGTCTCAAGTTTAGAGGGAACTTGCAATTGGCTTGCTGACTGCAGGAATGTCCAACAATTAATGTAATGTTAAATTCTCTACTATAAGCTGCCTCCAATGTTATTTTAGAGAATTTGGCAGTACATCCAACTGGCCTCACAACCGCAGACCATGTGTAACCCCGCCAGCCCAGGACCTCCACGTCTGGCTTATTCACCTGCGGGATCGTCTGGGGAAGGGGGGTGCTCAGGAGTATTTCTGTCTGTAATAAAGCCCTTTTGTGGGGGAAACTAATTCTGATTGGCTGGGCCTGGCTCCCCAGTTGGGTGGACCAGGTTCCCAAGTGGGTGGGCCTATGCCCACCCATGGCTGCGCCCCTGCCCAGTCATGTGAAATTAGGGCCTAATTTATTTATTTCAATTGACTGAATTCCTTCTATGAACTGTAACTCAGTAAAATCTTTGACATTGTAGCGTGTTCGTGTTTATTTTTGTTAAACGTAGATAACTAGCGTAGCTAGCTAGCACCATTATAATTAAATCACAATGAATTCATTTTTTTATGAAGCAGCCAAGAGTCAGTGGAGAAGCGAGCTAGCTATGTTGTGCTACTGCATATGGCGACGCTAACCGTTAAGCTAACGTTAGCTAGCAAGCGAACTGGCAGTTAAAACAATTCTGATGAAAAGGGGGTGAGTTACACCAGTAAAATTGCCCTCTTTTTCCATTTTTCTTGTCACTCCTGTCGGCTCCCCCACGTGGAGGTTCATGCTCTCTGATTAGCTCAAAGTCAAGTTGTCGGCCACTACCGATCATTGCGATTCTTTAAGTAATGCTGGGCATACACTATACGACTTTTAACAATTTAAAAACTTGGACGAGCTCACATTTCCTTGTCCTAAATGTTTAATTCCGTCCATCCTCAACCCCAGGACGTGGGTGCTCACATTACACAATGATTCCCTAGTTGATCCTGCCCTGCATTTCTCGGTAGTCGTAGGAAAAAAATGCAGACATGCAAACAGTGAGTTGCTTTATTACTGTGCACATTATTATTTGCAGAAACGTCAACAAATTTACGGAGGACAGAATATGGACTTCATTTCATATATCATTATTATTTCATATTATCTTTTTGGTTTTTGTCAGTAGTCCGCAGATGTACTATTGGTGGAGTTCGTTTTGCATGGCTCGGTGCCCCGGGTGCGTGGAGATTTCACTTAAGGACCAATGGAATGATCTAAAATGAGCAAACTCCGTCCATCCGGGGCACCGGACCATGTAAAACTAACTTGCCCATTGAAAAGGCAGCAGCGTTCTCTCCACAGCTCCACCAATCGGTCTTCCATCACCTTGGTCCACATGGTACGTGTTGTTGCTTTCCTCAAAATGTCTTAGATTTTTCCCAGACCTAAAAAGCATTGTTGTGGACTTCGAACATCCAATTTTGTTGTTTTTCTATAAAAAAAAGTTTGGAAAAATCTGTTGTTCTCCCCGCTTTCTTTTTTGTCGTGGGATCGAGTATTGTGATGCTAACCCTGGTATCGAAGTCTAAATTCTGCTATCATGACAACACTACTGCATTTCCACTTCCTCCATGTAGTCCCTGCCTCTGCTCTGTGTTAACCAGTTCCCCTCCTCTTTGTCCTGCTACAGGTTAAACGAGCCCAAGATGTCGGAGGCGGAGCGGCAGGTGCTGGAGGGCGAGCGCGCTGACCGCAGCCTGTTTGTCCAGGAGCTGCTGCTGAGCACGCTGATGCGCGAGGAGAGCTCTTCCTCGGATGAGGAAGAGCGCCGAGATTTCGCCAGCTTTGGGGCCATGGGCTGCGTGGATATCATGCCTTTAGACGTGGCCCTGGAGAATCTCAACCTCAAGGAGAGCGGCACAGGCGGTTACGGCAGCAGCTCGAGGAGCTCTAAGGAGCCTCCACCGCCTCCTCTTTGATGATATCCCAGCACCACACAGACTTTGTCCTCTGTGCTGCCACTGCCAGTGATGGGCGGGCAGGGCAGCAGGCTGTTTTTTGGTTTGTTTTTTGGTGATTGTAATTTCAGGTCTGTCACCTTTGTTACGTTGTGTACAACCATAAAAAAGGAGAGTGGGAGCGATTGGGGAAAGTGCAAGTGGATGAGTGCGCAGCGCTGAGCGAGTGATTGAGAGAAAATAAATATATATAAATATATATAAAAAGTTGATAATCACATAATTTTTCTTTAGCAGGTCAGCATTAGGTAGTCGTGGCAGACCTCTGCTTCCTGTTCTCATGCAAAAGGCTCCTTATAAATACTCCACATTCAAAAACTGAAGAGGAATCAGACACCCTCTGATGAAGCTGCTGTGTGTATTTGACATAACTAATAAAGTGCTTGAATGGTTTACCATAACTACTGCATGAGGTTCTTTGCAGCGTGCATGACTTTTAATGACCTTACAGTCATTAAAAAGCAAAAAAATAAATATCCCAAAGCTTTTTCTCTTCAACCATTTTAAAGGGTTACATGATCGAGTTTTTCCGAAAAATTGAATATCCCAAAAAACTGACATGCTGAAAAGTTTAGGAACTTTTACAACTTTTTTTATTTTTAATAGAAAAAAGCAACATATTGGTATCTGCTGTAGCTTTAAAAAAAAAAAAAAAATGCAATGTGTTTGTCTCTCAGCTCCGGTTTGTCCTTCCCTCTCTGACATCATCGTCTGAATATAACAACAACTTGCTACACTAATGTCTAAACTCGAGGTCTGCATTTACTTAGCAGATGATAAAATAATACAGTACTAGGAGCAGAAAAACAAGATCTTGCCTCTGACATTTTTCCTATATGTTGATGTTTTAGTGATAAGCTGTGTGTAACCACCAGATGTAGTTTCTAATTGATGCACCTGTACAGAAGAACTAGTCTTTACCATTCTCATTGATCGCACTCAACTCTACTCCTCTTCTCCATCTCTCTGCTTCTGTAGGGCCAGACTCCCTCCCTATGTTAATTTGTATTACTTTCTTTGTTGAGGAAGGGGAGCTCGGGACTCCACATTGCAGACATTGTTTTTTGTTCGACTTATAAAAAAGAAAAGATACGTTCAGATTTCTTTTCAGCTAAGGATAGCACCTTCTATTTATTATTTTTGTTTTTGTTTATCTGATTCTTTTAAGCCTTGTAATGAATCATGTCCACCTCCATGCCTGTACTCTTATACTCTATGTAAAATACAATGAGATGTATATTGAATTTGTGCGTTAACTTTCATAATGGTTCTAGGACATGGGCAGACTTTGTTTTTTTTTTAATGTAAATTTAGAATACTACAATAAAACGCGCACAGCTTTTGATTAAACAAAGCACCTCCCTCTTGATCTTTGTGATGGTGTGTTATTCGGCTACTGTATAGGGCTTTTCACACTGCTGAGCCGAACAAAGCTGTACTTTTTGCACATCCACCATAGTTGTTGGAAAGGACAATGTGAAAAGAAAAATAACAAACCCTTACCCAGTACAGTTTGGTTATGGTCTGCACAGAACTCTGAAAATGGTATATGTGTCGCCATGTTCAAGGCTTTAAGGAGATATTTTTTCTAACTGGTGTGTACCAAACAGGGCTATACATGTGTGCTACAAAAACAAGGCTCAATAAAATACTCTTGTGCAGCACCAACTTCCCTGGACCTAAAGACCACTGGCTCCGGACACCACTGGACCCTGTGCACTTTAAAGGGATACTTTGGGATTTTGACAGAGGCCCTTTATCCACACTGAACAAAAATATAAAAGCAACATGCAACAATTTCAAAGATTTTACTGAGTTATAGTTCATATAAGGAAATAATCTATGTGACATGGGGCCGTGCACTATCATGCTGAAACATGAGGTTATGGTGGTATGGAACATTTCTGTGATCTTTTATTTCAGCTCATGAAACATGGGATCAACACTTTACATGTTGCGTTTATATTTTTGTTCAGTGTACATCCCCAAAGACTCATGAACTTGTAGATACAGTGAGGGAAAAAAGTATTTGATCCCCTGCTGATTTTGTACGTTTGCCCACTGACAAAGAAATTATCAGTCTATAATTTTAATGGTAGGTTTATTTGAACAGTGAGAGACAGAATAACAACAACAAAATCCAGAAAAACGCATGTCAAAAATGTTATAAATTGATTTGCATTTTAATGAGGGAAATAAGTATTTGACCCCCTCTCAATCAGAAAGATTAGGAGCACACTCTTAAAGGGAGTGCTCCAAACTCAGTTTGTTACCTGTATAAAAGACACTTGTCCACAGAAGCAATCAATCAGATTCCAAACTCTCCACCATGTCCAAGACCAAAGAGCTCTCCAAGGATGTCAGGGACAATATTGTAGACCTACACAAGGCTGGAATGGGCTACAAGACCATCGCCAAGCAGCTTGGTGAGAAGGTGACAACAGTTGGTGCAATTATTCGCAAATGGAAGAAACACAAAATAACTGTCAATCTCCCTCGGCCTGGGGCTCCATGCAAGATCTCACCTCGTGGAGTTGCAATGATCATGAGAACGGTGAGGAATCAGCCCTGAACTACACGGGAGGATCTTGTCAATGATTTCAAGGCAGCTGGGACCATAGTCACCAAGAAAACAATTGGTAACACACTACACCGTGAAGGACTGAAATCCTGCAGCGCACGCAAGGTCCCCCTGCTGAAGAAAGCACATATACAGGCCCGTCTGAAGTTTGCCAATGAACATCTGAATGATTCAGAGGAGAACTGGGTGAAAGTGTTGTGGAGGAGGAGGAATGCTGCCTACATGGAGGTGGAAACATTATGCTTTGGGGGTGTTTTTCTGCTAAGGGGACAGGACAACTTCACCGCATCAAAGGGACGATGGATGGGGCCATGTACCGTCAAATCTTGGGTGAGAACCTCCTTCCCTCAGCAAGGGCATTGAAAATGGGTCGTGGATGGGTATTCCAGCATGACAATGACCCAAAACACACGGCCAAGGCAACAAAGGAGTGGCTCAAGAATAAGCACATTAAGGTCATGGAGTGGCCTAGCCAGTCTCCAGACCTTAATCCCATAGAAAATCTGTGGAGGGAGCTGTTGCTTCGAGTTGCCAAATGTCAGCCTCGAAACCTTAATGACTTGGAGAAGATCTGCAAAGAGGAGTGGGACAAAATTCCTCCTGAGATGTGTGCAAACCGGGTGGCCAACTACAAGAAACGTCTGACCTCTGTGATTGCCAACAAGGGTTTTGCCACCAAGTACTAAGTCATGTTTTGCAGAGGGGTCAAATATTTATTTCCCTCATTAAAATGCAAATCAATTTATAACATTTTTGACATGCGTTTTTCTGGATTTTTGTTGTTGTTATTCTGTCTCTCACTGTTCGAATAAACCTACCATTAAAATTATAGACTGATCATGTCTTTGTCAGTGGGCAAACGTACAAAATATGCAGGGGATCAAATACTTTTTTCCCTCACTGTACCATTATTATGTCTCTGTCCAGTATGAAGGAAGTTAGAGCTCGTTTCGCAAGCCAATGCTAACTAGCATTAGCGCAATGACTGCAGATACCCATAGACTTCCAGTCATTGCTCTAATGCTAGTTAGCAATTGCGCTAGCGCTAATTTCCTTCAAACCGGACACAGAGACATGAAAATGGTATCCACGAGTTCATCTGACTCTGGGGAAGTAGATAATCCCAAAGTATCACTTTAAACTCACCTCAATCTATGCACTGCAATGGCTTCACTTTTTTACTACAAGTATGACAGCAGTGAGCAACACACTGTACTTATTCTATAGCTAGAGGACTCCTGATATCTCCAGGAGTGATAAGTGTAATTTTTGTCTTTATCTTGTCTTGTACTGTCTTTTTGCTAGCTAGGGCCATCTACTTTAAGTGTTGCCTGTCTTCTCAACATCTTGGTGTGTGTGAACCGCTGACTGCTCATAACTTGACACATCAACCAGGATCAAGTGGCAGGGCAATTTGTGACTTGTTTTGGTAATCAATGGCTGTATTGGAGGGGGAGTGGTAATCTGCCTAAATGACTACCGACTTGTAGCACTCACATCTTTAGCCATGAAATGCTTTGAAAGGCTGGTCATGACTCACATCAACACCATCATCCCAGAAACCCTAGACCCACTCCAATTTGCATACAGCCCCAACAGATCCACAGATGACGCAATCTCTACTGCACTCCACACTGCCCTTTCCCACTTTGACAAAAGGAACACCTACGTGAGGATACTGTTCATTGACTACAGCTCAGTATTCAACACCATAGAGCCCTCAAAGCTCATCACTAAGCTAAGGACCCTGGGACTAAACACCTCCCTCTGCAACTGGATCCTGGACTTCCCGACGGGCCGCCCCCAGGTGGTAAGGGTAGGCAACAACACATCTGCCACGCTGATCCTCAACACGAGGGCCCCTCAGGGGTGCGTGTTTAGTCCCCTCCTGTACTCCCTGTTCACCCACGACTGCACGGCCAAGCACGACTCCAACACCATCGATAAGTTTGCCGACATCACAACAGTGGTAGGCCTGATCACCTACAACAATGAGACAGCCTATAGGGAGGAGGTCAGAGACCTGGCTGTGTGGTGCCAGGACAACAACCTCTCCCTCAATGTGATCAAGACAAAGGAGATGATTGTGGACTGCAGGAAAAGGAGGGCCTAGCACGCCCCCATTCACACCGACGGGGCTGTAGTGGAGTAGGTCGAGAGCTTCAAGTACCTTGGTGTCCACATCACCAACAAACTATCATGGTCCAAACACACCAAGACAGTCGTGAAGAGGGCACGACAACGCCTATTCCCCCTCAGGAGACTGAAAAGATTTGGCATGGGTCCTCAGATCCTCAAAAAGGTCTACAGATGCACCATCGAGAGCATGCTAACTAGTTGCATCACCACTTAGTATGGCAACTGCTTGGCATCCGACCACAAGACGCTACAGAGGGTAGTGTGTGCGGCCCAGTACATCACTAGGGCCAAGCTTCCTGCCATCCAGGACCTCTATACCAGACAGTGTCAGAGGAAGGCCCTAAAAATTGTGAAGGACTCCAGCCACCCTAGTCATAGACTGTTCTCTCTGCTACCGCATGGCAAGCAGTACCGGAGAGCCAAGTCTAGGTCCAAAAGGCTCCTTAACAGCTTCTACCCCCAAGCCATAAGACTGCTGAACAGTTAATAAAATGGCTTCCCGGACTATTTGCATTGACCTCCCCTTTTTTACGCTGCTGCTACTCGCTGTTTATTATCTATGCATAGTCACTTTACCCCTACATACATGTACATATTACCTCAATTACCTCGACTAACCTGTACCCCGCACATTGACTTCGTACCGGTACACCTTGTATATAGCCTCGTTATTGTTGTTTTATTGTGTTACTTTATTTATTAATACACTTTTTTACTTTAGTTTATTTAGTAAACATTTTCTTAACTCTTATTTTTCTTAAAACTGCATTGTTGGTTAAGTGCTTGTAAGTAAGCATTTCACGGTAAGGTTGTATTCGGCGCATGTGACAAATAACATTTGATTTGATTTGTTTCTCCTCTCCTTGGCAATCAGTACAGTGAGGTGTGCTCTTCACCTCTGCTAGGCAATTAGTGTT